CGTAGTGTCCTTAGGGAACAAGACCTGCCTGACCCCTCTTTCTTATCTGACACTGATGTTTCCTGTGTTGGGGTGGATGGTACCCCACGCAGCAACCCCCTTACTAAGCTCCTACATGTAGGTTCACACATCCTCTCACGCTTTGTGGTTTCCTCTACTTGCCCCATTAACCTCCTAGGTGCCGATGTTCTCTCTCGCCTCCAGGCCTCCATTACCTTCACTGCGGATGGGCAGATTGAGTTGACAACTCCCTTATCACAAAAAGATACCTCTGTCCTCTGTTCACTCCCTATTTTGTTAAACCTAACTGACAACTCAGAGGATGCACGGGTCCCACAAACCCCCAGTGCTCTGGACCGTATCCCACCTGATCTTTGGTCCACCGGCCCGGATGATATTGGACGTTTACATGTGCCCCCGGTCTTGGTTCAGCTCCTACCCGGGGCACAGCCTCCTCGCAGACCACAATACCCTCTAAAGCCTGCACAAGCTGATGCCATTACCAGACAAGTTGAAAGTCTCCTTACCAAAGGTGCCCTCATCAAGTGTTCGTCTCCATGCAATACTCCACTTTTTCCTGTTAAAAAGAGAGCTGTTAAAGGTCAACCTGATCAATATCGTATGGTACAAGATCTCCGTGCTGTGAATGATGTGACCATCAAAGACACTGCCATTGTTCCTAACCCCCACACCCTCTTATCCCAAGTCCCATCAACTTCAACAATATTCACTGTGGTGGATCTAGCTAACGCCTTCTTCAGTGTCCCCCTTGACCCTTCATGTCGTTTCCTCTTTGCCTTCACCCATGAAGGACAGCAATACACCTGGACTGTCATGCCTCAGGGGGCTCAGAATTCCCCCACACAATTTGCACACGCCATGTCACTGGTGTTGGAACCCTGGCAACAATCTCATTTGGATGTCGTCCTGCTTCAATATGTTGATGATCTCCTTCTCTGTGCTCCTGATTTACTCACTGCGGAGCGTGATTCAGAAGACCTCCTATGTTTTCTTGCTGCTGCTGGTTGCAAAGCCTCCAAATCCAAGTTACAATGGTGCCGGCCCTCTGTGGTCTTCTTGGGACACTGCCTTTCCCATGGCACCAAACATCTCACCTCCCAACGTGTACAAGCCATTCTGCTTCTTCCATTACCTGCTAACCACCAGGCTCTCCATGCTTTCCTGGGTCTAATCACGTACTGCAGGTCCTGGATACCTGAAGCATCAAAACTCATGCAGCCACTCTATGATGCCCTCAGGAGTGAACCTTTCCATCTCACAGAAGAAACTATCATCTGTTTCCGCACTCTGAAAAGAGCTATTGCTTCTGCACCTGCCTTGGGCCTACCAAACTACCAACTTCCCTTCAACCTTTTTGTCTCTGAAAAATCAGGACATGCTTCCGGAGTCCTCACCCAAAAACATGGCTCAAGACAACGCCCTATTGGCTATTTTTCCTGCATGCTTGACCCTGTTGCAAGGGGTAGCCCCTCTTACCTCCGAGCGGTGTTCGCCGCCAGTGCTCTCCTGGACAAGACCAATGACTTTGTTCTTGGCCATCACCTCACAGTGTTGGCCCCTCACGATATTACTGCAATCTTACAGCAAATCCGCCCAAAACACCTTTCTTCACAACGCCACCTTCGCCTACAGACATCCTTGCTCCTACCTGACAATGTGAAACTCCAGAGATGCCTTTCCCTGAACCCAGCCACTCTTCTGCCACTTCCCAAGGGGGGAATAGTGCATCACTGGTACAGCCTGGACATCAACCCAGAGGTCCGAGCAGATTTACAATTGCCTGTGTTTGCACCTTCCCCTGATGATGAACAATCAGAGGCCCTACTCCACTGTGTCTTGTGGTTTAGGGACATACCAAACCCTGACGTGGACTATGAGGAAGAACTATTTCAGCTCAAAGACATCCAAATTACCTTGACTGACTTGTTTTGGGACTCCACAGGTACCATGCTCATTCTGGTACATCTTCCAGACAGTGCAGTACACCTCTACCACCATTGGGAAACAGCTATCCCACACATACCTCTCACCAGATCCCACGACATCTCATGGGAGACCCTAGGCCCGAAGGCCAAAACTTGGAACCAAATGACTCCAGAACTACTGACTTCTGCAGGAATAAATAAAAAGACAATTAACTACTGCACAACAGGACACTCCAGGTACCACACAGAGGCCTGTGAGGACCCACCCACCATAGACTGCGACCTTATTGATATCCCTCACGACTGTTTTGAACAAATGAAAATGGAAACTACACACCTACCAACTGTTTATGAAGCTGCATTACTCAACCCGGATCAGACACTATTTGTGGATGGCTCAAGGTTTGCTGACGAACAAGGACAATACCACACTGGATATGCAGTTACCACAGGATGTCAAATATTACAAGCAGCTGCCTTACAACCAACTAAATCTGCCCAAGAGGCCGAGTTAACAGCCTTGACTGTGGCCTGCAAACTGTCCGAAGGCCTACGTGTCAACATTTATACGGACTCAAGATATGCCCTGGGAGTGGCACACGATTTTGGCTTAATCTGGAAGACCAGAGGATTCCTTACAGCTACCGGTACCCCAGTAAAGCATGGGGCAGCCATTGCAGAACTGATGGACGCATTGGAACTCCCAGCAGAAGTGGCAGTATTGAAAGTAAAAGCTCATGGAAGATTAGACACAGAAGAAGCACGTGGCAATAACCTAGCTGATCAGGCAGCCAAAGAGGCAGCACGACAAGGATGGGAAGTGGACAGAAGAGTGGCCACAGATGCATTACCAATTTATACTATGCAAACATTGCCTACAGACCTCAGGCTGCTGAAGGAACAGCAAGTTGCTGCCACTCCTCAGGAGAAACAGAGTTGGAAGAACAAAGGAGCAATACTCCGTGATGAAGTTTACACTATTAATCTCAAGTTCTGTCTACCTAGAAGTATGTACCCAGCGGTGGTCCAATGGGCCCATGGGCCAGCCCACCTATCAAAGCTCCTGATGAATTCACTGATTGACAAGTATTGTGAAGCACCAGGCATCACTACCTTAACACAGAATTATTGCAAATCTTGTACTATATGTGCTAAGTGCAACCCTGGAAAGATCATAAAGACTGCACCTAATCATCTAGCCAAGCCACAATACCCCTTCCAGAGGATTCAGATTGACCATATTCAGATGCCAAAGAGCGGACGCCATGAATATGCACTGGTCATAGTGGACATGTTTTCAGGATGGCCAGAGGCCTTCCCAGTGACTAACCTCACCGCGAGGACAACAGCCAAGTACCTCTTGACAGAAATTGTTTGCCGTTACAGGGTTCCAGAAGTAATTGAGAGTGACCAAGGAACCTCCTTCACTGCCTCGCTAACACGGGAAGTCTGGTCAGCACTGGGGGTGACCCTTGCATTCCACACACCATATCACCCACAGAGTAGTGGTAAGGTAGAGCGCATGAACGGCACTCTGAAAGCCAGAATGCTTAAAATGTCACAAGAAACTAACATGTCTTGGCCCGAGAGTCTCCCATTAGCATTGTTTAGTGTAAGGTACACTCCTAGGGGAAAATACAGACTGTCACCTTATGAAATTTTGTTTGGCACAGCACCTAGGTTAGGTTGTTACTTTCCCCAACAACTTCAGATCCAGTCAGATGCTATGGTAGATTATGTGACAGCCCTCTCACATGCCTTGACCAAGATACATGCCCAATTGTTTTCTTCTATTCCAGATCCTGAGTCGAACACAGGTACACACAAGCTGCTTCCAGGTGACTGGGTTATGGTTAAGAAGTTTCTCAGAAAACACACCCTAGAACCGAGATTTGATGGTCCTTACCAAGTGCTCCTGATTACAGCAACGTCAGTTAAACTAGCTGGGAAGAGTTCTTGGATACACGCTTCACATTGCAAAAAAGTGCCTGCTCCAGAAGAGACTGATCCTGTTGAAAAATGAATTTATTATGTGTCTTGTGTTTTCTTATGCTGCTACATTTTGCCTGGGCCCAACAAGTGGCCATAACCAAAGATAACCATGTTTACACTTTTTGGTACAATTCTTCTAATACTGATGTGGCTACATACACCTTTGACTATTGTGACATAGTTACTTGTACATTTCCACAAACACAACATGCAGCTGTATATAAGGACATACCTAACAAAAAGGATCCATACATTTGTGTGACTGGCGGAGGTTGGGGACACCATTGTAGTTCATGGAAAGCTGCCGGGTGGAACACAGGTAGACCATGGGGCTACAGACCTCAAGTTGCATTAGACAAGCTTGACAAAGACGGGAAACCCTTGCTCTCTAGAATGACCCTGAGTAAACCCATAGGGTCAACTCCCATTAAACTCACCTTAAACATAGAACACCCTAGTCCAAGGGATGCAGGGGAGTATGTGATGGGAATGTACTGGAAGGGAGGTGGCTCACATAACACATTAGGGACCTTTTACCTGCAAGATATGCTAAATTCCTCTGATTGGGTGGGAACTACACATATGGTCATTAACCCATTGAAACCACACATCAAAACCCTACATGACATGGTAGCCATAGCCAACCCCACCTTTGAAGATACCATGGCAGTAGAAACAGGGTTTTCAGATACCAATTTATGGCTAGAATGGATGAGGTACAACGCCAACTCACATAATAAGACTAATTGTTATGTATGCGGAGGTGCCAGACCCCATCTGGGTACAGTACCTCTGAGTTTACCTCCGGAAATAGAATTATGTGTATTGAGTTTGTATGCACAATCCACCACTAACTCCTCAACATGTGAATCCTGGAAGAAGATTTACCCAATCACTCATGGACATGTGAAACCACCCGATGGAGTCACCATCTACCCAGGTAATTACACATGCTATTCAATACCAGAAAACACTGGTTTGTATCTGGGCAAATTCCCACCAGGATACTGCTCAACTTACCATAGTCCACCTGTATCACTGCTAATGAATCACACAAAGACAATCGGTGATATCTATTGGTTATGTGGTGACAAACAATTAAGGCCCCAATTAGCTGGGCAATGGTGGGGGGAGTGTGCCCTAACCAAAGTCATAATGCCTATTCCAGATGGTGACCATAACACGCTAAACCTCACACATATACACTCTAGAACCAAACGAGAGACCCCTATTCGAGGGAGTTTCGACCCCCATGTGTATATTGATGCCATAGGTGTGCCAAGGGGGGTGCCTAACGAATTTAAAGCAAGAGATGAAGTGGCTGCAGGGTTTGAGTCCCTAATCCCAATGATAACTGCTAACAAGAATGTCAATTGGATTAACTATATCTATTATAATCAGCAACGTTTTGTCAACTACACAAGGGATGCCCTACAGGGCCTGGCAGAGCAACTACAAGCCACTACCCAAATGACATTTCAGAACAGAATGGCCCTAGATATGATTCTAGCCGAAAAAGGGGGAGTATGTAAAATCCTCCCTGAGACCATGACATGCTGCACATACATTCCAGACAACACGGGGCCCAATGGTAAGGTGACTATGGCCATAGAAAAGCTAGATAGTCTTGCAGACGAATTAAAGAAGAATTCGGGAGTCACTGACATATGGGACAAATGGTTTGGGTGGATGAATGGCTGGCAAAAGACCCTCTTTCAGGTAGGGACAGCTGTTCTCATGGTGTTCATTATCTTTTTGTTCTTAGCCTGTTGTATACTCCCCTGTATACAGAAATATCTGCAGAAAGCGGTGGATAAGACTGTAGATAATGTGACCCCTACCTTCATACATCAAGATATCACAGACCTTGAAGATGACACCCCACATACACCCCTACAAACACATCAGTTTAAACAAACAACTGCTTTTCTGTAGGGATAGAGTAGGGAAAGCGTCTGTCTTGACAGGTGAGTCTCACGTGTGGAGATGTAGTGGGCTAGCCACTGCGGGATACCCGCGGAGTGAAGTGTTCGATGCTTGTCAAGACAGATAGGTTGCGGGCAACTAGGGACATATTAGGGACAGCAGCAGTTGTTATGGTAAATAGCCATTTTAGGGAAGACTGTTGTGGAAATAAGGTCTACACATATTTCCTAGTTAGAGAAAATGTCTATTTACTCATTTTACAATGTATATATATATCTCACATATAAAGCTAAGCACACATATTTCAATCAAGATGGCTGCTAGAAGCTTCTAACCCCTCCTTCCCCTCCCCTCCCTTCTTAAACATCGACTAACTACCTCGTGTAACAAGATGGCACCGGAAAACCGTGGGAGACCCTCATGGTCCCGGTGACATCACCTGCAGTAGGCAGAGCATTAGAGCAACCACTTAACACCTAACCAATTATTGATGTATTATTCCATGTTATCTCTGACAATGCATATGATGTAATTTTGCTTTAAAAGGGACTTGCCGTCCCCTCTGAATAAACTTTCCTCAAGTTATTCAACGACCTGGAACCTGTGTCTGGTGTGAATTACTTCAGGGAGCGTGCACGCATTGTTTCATTGATTTGGCCAGGGGCAGATACACAAAGAAATAATCAATACTTTAATTGATTTTTCCACTTCACATGTAATTCCAAAAATTTAATATATATGATAACATGCCCTTGTGGATTTCAATGTATAGGGAAAACGTCCAGACCCCTTAAAATACAGATTAGGGAACATATTTATAATATTAATAGAAAATTTTATCAACATAGCATATCCAAACATTTTTTAGAGGAGAAGCCAGTGGACTAGATTTTTTTGGGCATTGGGAATGTTAAGGTTCACTGGAGAGGAGCAGATATTAATAGTCTCCTAAGTAAGTCTGAAATTAGGTGGATTTTTAACTTAGATACCTTATTGCCTAAAGGTTTAAATGCTGATTTTGAGATTAATTCCTGTATATGAAATGTGTTTTTATCAATTTTTTTTATTAATTATGCTTCTTATTTTATTTCCAATTTAGGTTTTTATATTATTTATTCTATTTTAGCAAAATGGAAGTTTAGTTTTAAGTTTGGATTTGGGGTCCAATATATTAATTTTCTGAATCTCTCTTTCTCTTCTATCAACAATAGGAAATAATATGTTTATTTTAGATAACCCATTTTATATTGTGTATTTATGTCTTTCGATGTCCGTGTTTTTATGGTATAGACTGTTACATGAGAGACTCCTATAAAATGGCGTTAGGTCGCTGCCCTGTTAGGGTATGTGTATAATATCCACACTTCCGGAGGGCGGAGTCTGACCGCCAAGCTGAACAGACGCATGGGGAAGGAGCTCCCAGCGGGCGAGCAGAAAATAAGGCGATATCAGCAGCTGTGTAGCCCAAAGACATACCAGGGTGCTCTACCCACGTTGGGGGAGCTCCAAAGAATCGGGGGGATACCCTTTTGGATCCTGTAGGGGCACATAGACCACAACGCAAATTGAGGCCTGCAGGAGTTGGAGCCGGGGAGAGGCGGTCGCTCTCTTCGACTCCAGATACCCCAGAAAGCACAACTGAACTCCTACCCCGGGACCGGTGGGGGATATCCCGGTCCCCACAAGACAAGCAGGCTAACGCAGAAAGCAAGGGAGACAACCTTGACAGCGGCAAAGACACGAGCCAGACAGAGTGTACCCAAAATGGCCGCCCACCGACAACTAAAGAAAACAAACAAAATCACCCAGGAGCACCCTCATCCTCTGATAGCCCTAGACCGGCTCTGCTCGGCTTTCTGCAGGATACTGTGCAACAGGGGAGTGCCCTACCCTCATGCAGCACAGGTGGTAGCCTCGTGGATTCGTCCGGAGACCCACCGACGCCGATATGGAGACCCACTGCGGACCTTCAGGGAGGCAGTCCAGCCACATAGGTATCGACCCACGACAGGGCGAGAAGCGAACCTCTCCGACCCGGGCATACACACCCACCTCCACAAACGGGGTAAGGTGAGGGACGGGTACCCCCAAGGCCCCGGCACCACGCCAAAACACAACACCACAGAGCAACACACTTTGTTGTTTAGATGCGCAGTTACTGGATAGGGCAACGCAAGCCTCTCACCTGTCGGAGCTAAGCAAGTGATTTATATGTAACAAAGCACAGTGTTTATAAAGTACAGCTCAGAGTAAAGGGGATCTTTATCTGTTTTACTGAGAGATCACCTGCTGCAATGTTAGCAAGAATGCCTAAAATACTACTACGTGTATATGTGTAACCAAACATAGTGCTTATAAAGAACAGCGTAGAGTAAACGCGCTCTCTGTTTGTCCTACTGAGATATAACCTGCTGCGATGTTAGTGAGAACGACTGAAACACTTATTATATTACTTATTATAGCGAAACTAAAACAACGCAAGTTTAAGCCAGTTTAACTTTTAACTTACTATAGAAATGTCTAAGCCTGAAGAAATATTAGCAAGTTATTAAATCTGATTGTAAACTTTCTAAAAGTTCTGTCATAGCCTAACAGTACCTAAGTAACGTAAAACTAGATTGTGTATAACTTTAAAAAATGTGCTTGTTTTATTATGTACCTCTATGTTTGACTGTTTTAATGCGCTGGAGGATTGTCTTTGGGGTACCTTTAGAGCGATTGTTATAAGCTTACGCACAACAAAAATAAAGAATTATAAAAAAAATATCCACACTTCCGAGGACGGAACAATTTGCTATGAAAATTAAGTTGGGGCGCAAGGATGCCGAAAAACGTAGTCTGGCAATCTGATGACGTCAACAAAATAATGTGAACAGTTGGACACCGTCTGATGACGAAAGCGGAAGTAAACCTGAAATATCGTCGACAGCTGTGAAAGGGTGCAAATTCAAAAGTTTAAAAAGAAGACTATGGAGGATAACAGGACCAACCCACTTCTGAGGAAGGCACTTACCTGAAACGCTTAAAGTGGACTTATGTAGTTTATCTGAGGTCTAAATTTTATTTATATTATTTTGTCCAATAAAGTATTTCATCTTCACCGATTTTCCTGCATCCTGGATTTATACATGGTGTAAGCGAAGGGACAAAGAATCATCTAGACTCACTCCCTG